CATGCAAAAAGGAGAAAAACTGGTCGTTTTTTCAGACTCGGGATGCTCGATCATGATTACTGTCACGTTTCTTGAGCTGGAAAAACACAACAATTTTTTCCTCCTTTGTGTATGCGTGTAAACGCGTTTTTTGTCTGAAAACGCGTTTAAATGCACAAAAAGGGCGAAAAATGGGTGTTTTTGGCTCACAGTCGGGAACCTCAAGTGTGATCCGAAAATGTCCACTTTTTGCTGATTTTAGGCCAATTTCTATGCGTTTAAACGCGTTTTCTCAAAAGTTTGTCTGCCTGGGAATAACGTAATCACTTTTCCATTGATAAAAACTATTATATTTTAAATAATTCCTAAGGATATAATGTTCAAAGACAGTAATTATTAACTGTATAGTACATACACATAAATAATGATACATATTATCTATGATCTAATGTCCATCACGACTATTGACATGGAAGAATATATCCAAAAGAAACCCATGAAAAGCTTCTCATTATTCATCTAGATGTTATATTGTCCGTAAAAAACTATATAAATTATAGAAATAAAATTTTATATTATTTGTTTTTTTATTTCGAATTTTTAGCTCATTATGGACGTAAATTACGTTCAAAACTTGATACAGTTAAAAAACAATTTAGTGATCCAAATCCATCTTCATCATCACATCCATTAATGCGTTTACATGGAACTACATTTGATGATATTGGTATGTTAACTTCTTTTCTTTTTTTTTAGTAGAAAACAAAAGATAATTAATATAATTAGGATATGGATTGAATCATGCATTACTTACAGCTAAATTAGCTCCGGCAATGACAAAATCTTATCAACAAAAAATGCGTGAATGGCAAACAATGCAAAAAAGTAATTTTCTAGTAAATTATCGTCGACAATCAGTTACAAATAAACTTGAATTAAATAATGATTGTCAAAAATCATCAATAATATCTACAATAAATGAATCATCTATTAAACCACAATCATCATTAATAGATAAATCAAAACATAAAATTGAAACAAATATATTATCATTAAGTCCTATTCTATCATCAAATCAACGATCATTTCTTGTACATCAATGGCGTGAAATAATGTCAGAAGAAATTTTTCTTCGTCATTATAATGAATATTTACAAAATAAAATACAAGAATTAAAACGACTTGAAACAGATTTAAAAACTTTAAAAACAAGTATTTTTTGTACAAATAATCAAGATTATTTATTAAAACATCGTTCATTAACAAGTATTGAACAATATAATCATGATTTATTAAATCAATATAAACAAACATATTTACCTCGACGTTGTCATTCATTTCAATCATTAATATCAATGCCTACATCATGGATATTAGCTGTACAAAGTGCTGCTTATTCAGATATATTAGATGGTACATCAATAAAAATAACCGAACCAACAATAATATATAATAAAAATTTTTCTAATCAATTAAATCATTTTAAAGAAGATCGACAACATTTTGAAAAAGATGCGATCAAAGATTTACAAGCAATGAAAAAATCAATGTGAGTTACGGTTGAAGTTTTTTTTTTTTTTTCATAGAATACTCAGCAGGATACGCAAAAAAAGAATACTCTGCTGACCATTGACACAGTATATGAATAAC